CGCAAGGCACTGTAGGTAGTAATTTCTAGGGTGATTACTTCGAGATAGATAACTTTGTTCTTCAGTCCGTTACATACATTTTGTTGTTACATACAGTACATGGGTAGTTCTCAATACTTGAGTCTTGTGATAGTGCCCTAGTAAATTCACAGTACAACCTTGCCAGAGAGCTTTTGTTTTTAATTTCAAAGAGTCCCTTTCCTTTGGGGGAAAAACAGCAAATCAATATGCATTTTGTGTTTGCACATAAACTTTGTACTTGCAAACTCATAAGTACAGTATATTTCACAAGTGTATACAGTAAGTGATGAAAATACCTGTTGAATGTATAACTTGTTTTTGTATAAAGTACATGTATGTACAGAAAATCAGAGAGACTATGGGATATGAAATGTATGTCTACATACATGAAAGTAGTTTATTCAAATAGTAGGCTACTGTGAGACAGCATGTCCACATCTCTTCTGTTCCAGCCTGGATGATCCATGGATGCTGTTCACTAGCATTTGGGCAAGCCATTTCTTGTGCACAAAATTGGACAGCTGACATCTGCAGTTTTTTACTGGCCATTGAGTGCTCATGCAATTGTTTGACTGGCTGATTACTTTCTTTATCAGACCTGGCCCACTTAATTTAACTTAGCACCACCCTGTGTGTATAGGTCACATAAGGAGGACATGTTGTTAAATGCATGAATGGAGAGGAAAAGAATGATAAATTACCCTGGAAAATTCCTAGAACAGAAGGGACAGTGTTATAATACACCCGTTTCCATACTAACAAAGCCTATTTCCTACCACAACTATTTTGGTTTTCCTGCTGTTGACTTTCTTAATACACCTCTGCTAATATATCTTCACCTCACACTTTTAATTGAAATGAAAAATAAAACATGTTACTCTAAAAACATATGATTTGATTAATATGCTTGCATATCATTTACATGTCCATTTATTTTTTATTTTATTTATTCTTCCCCCTCGATCACTGACACAGTCAAACACAGTCATTCTTAGCAACCCCAACGTCACCTCTGCATGATATTTTGATTGCCTGGCATCTACGCTAAGAGAGCCTTTTATCAGGGCTGGAAATGCACGGGATAAGGCATGAAACTGCATCAACACAAGGATGTCAGTGGCCCATCAATGCAACTTAACCTCAATATAGTCCCTCACACCTGACACCCCCTACAACCATTCTTTAAGGCCTGTATGAGACACCAGCAGTCCAACTATGGCAAAATAAAGGAATAAAGTTGAGATATATGTTTACCATTTGAATTAAAGACAAAAATTAAGTAAGCCAGATTGTTCAAATCCATGACAACCCAAAATTTAGCCAGGATACTGAGGTCACCTGTCCTACTTTTACAAACAGTAGCATGAGATCGTTTGTCTGCAAAACAGTCAGAGTCTGAGTTTGCCCTGAATTTGTCTGGAACCATGATCTCCTAGCAAGCTTAATTTCTACGAAAAACTCTCCATAGTTTAGGCTATCACACAAACCTTTTCCCTTTATTATTGATTATATTGCTTTCAGCATGCAGCTTAAAGAAGTCTAGCAATTAACAATATTTTAAAAGGTTCCTCATTAAATTATAACCATACTCTTTGACACATTTAATGTAAACCTTTTTTAAGCTGACATCTACTTATCAGGTAGATGCTTCAGTCTGTATCAGATTCTGTTTAAACATAATGATAATGGCAAGTACATTACAGTACATTAAGTGCTGTAACAATACAGTATGTCTTTTTTGTGTTTACAATACACAATCATCTGAAATAAAAATAGTTTCTTCAAAACAGTTGCCAATAATATGGGTAACATTGTTTGTATTATTGTATATAAATAAGCACAAAGATAAAGCTGTAGAAGTACTGCAGATACAAACTGTTGTGACTTTTAGCCCAATCCACTGTTTTATGCAATTACATGCTGTGCACAGCATGAAATCTGTTTCTAAGAGCTTGTACAAACCTAATTGCAATTGAAATGTTCATTTTTATATGGCAGGGTTTTGTGTATATATAATTGTGCATATGTATAGTGCACATAAATCCACACTGCAGAGCGGGCTTTCTATTCTAGCAAATACTCCCCAAATGGTACTGGTACCAAAGAGGAATTTTATCAACACAGGCTTATTTCAATTCTATCTATAAATAACATTCTCTGCTACCATCTTGCAGAAATAGTGACAGGCACTTTAAGCCTTATTAACTTATAGACCCCACTGTTCCTGAACCTACCAGAATCCTCATTCTTGAAAAAGACCAGTAATAAAGTAAGGGATTTTGATTTAAGGCTGAAATACAAATCGGTATGCAAGATCACAGTTTTCATCTTCAAAGCACAAATTCATTTTTGCCTTGAAATAAAGAATCATGTAAATGTATTTCCTCTTGGGCATTCCATACAGTTTCTATAGGTCAGAAGCAACATTCTATGGAATATTAAGCACTTTATGCAAATGAAAGCCTCAGGATAGGACACAAGGAGAAAAAGACTAATTCTCATTAGATTTAAATTGCAATGTGAAGCTCTGACCACAAGCTGGAATTCATAATTTTGTGTCTAACTACATTCATAGGGAAAAAGCTTATATAAGATGCTAAGGTACTGTGTTTTTTAGGATGTTGGCAATAGACAAGGATCACCTGGCACATTTTCAAAGTACAGATTGAGATTTAATAATATACTAAAAGAGGTATCTCAAACTGCTGTGCCAGAGATCCCCTATCTAGCTGATT